GGCACAACTTGATGAGCACTTCCAGGGCAGCATCTGTTAGCTGAAATATTTCAATTGGTATACCATCTATTCCCGGGGACTTATTTTTTGCTATTTCCTTCAAAGCAGCTTGAACTTCTGCCTTCATCACCATAGGCTCTTGCTCAAATGCTATTTCATTAAATTCTTCTGTGTCTGCCAATTCCTTTCGATACAATCACTCAATATATTCCTTCCATCTTCTTTTGATACCTCCTGGATCATTTAACATTCTGCCTAAAGCATCTTTAATTGTAGCAACTCGAGGTTTGAATTAATTTGTTCTTCAGTTTCTTGAGCTTAAGAAATGCTGAACGAGTTCGGCCCTTTTGATTTTCCGACTCTAGCTCCTTGCACATTTCATTGTAATATTTTGCTTTGTCATTCCATGCTGCCTTTTGGAATCTTCTGTTCAGCTCTTTAGTGTCTTGGATTCTTCCTTGTGCTTTGGCTTCTGTACGTTCCATTGCAATCTTCAGAGTTTCTTCTGACATCCATTTTGGTCTTTTCTTCCTCTTCTGTCTTTGTAATGACTGTTTGCACTCTTCCTGGATGATACATCTAGCATCCTCCCACAACTCATCTGGTCTTTGCTCAATAGTGTTCAAGGCCTCAAACCTGTTCCTGAGATGATTCTGAAATTCAGGTGGGATAAAATAAAAGTCATATTTTGGCTCCTGTGGATTCAGTTTAATTTTCTTGAGCTTCAGCTTAAACTTGCATATGAGTAGTTGGTGATCTGTTCCACAATCAGCTCCTGGCCTAGTTTTCACAGCTGATATTGAGCTTCTCCAGCGGTTTTTCCCACAGTTGTAATGGATCTGATTCCTATGCATACCATCAGGTGAAATCCATGTGTATAACCTGCACTTATGTCTCTTTAAAACATATTTGCAATGAATAAGTCATTGATTTTGCAAAATTCAATCATTCTATATTTTACAATTCCCATGCATTGTGTTTTATAAAATTAATCACCATTGATCTATGCCCACCGTTACTGACCCTTTTCAGGTCCCTAATTACTTCACTTTTTTGCTCTGTCCTCCAAATTCTGTGACCTTGAGACTTCCTTCCCTCCCACCCTTAGACCTCCTGCTTCCTCTCTTTCCTCCTTTTGAGTTTTTCACACATCTTACTGGTAATCCTCCTATTTTTACAATAATGATCTTATGGCTATTAGAGTCCTTTTCAGATGTATGATTTCCATAGATATTCTTAGTGGGTGGTATCTTTTTTCACTTTTTTAATAAAGTCCTTTTTTTCCTAATTTAAACACACACACACACACAACCCTGCAAATCACACACTTTATTGCAGGCTGTGAGGCCAATGTCCACTTAAAATTTCACATAAAATCAATCCACAAGTTTAGACATTTAAAGGCATTTCAGATCCTAGCAACCAATCAAGTACTAATACACAATGCACACCCATGTTTATCACTGCTTTATTCACAATAGCAAAGAGATAGAAACAGATTAGGTGCCTCTAAGCCAGTAAATGGATACAGAAACTATGGTTTATCCATGCAACGGAATACTGTGCAGCACTGAAAAATAATGAACTCATAAAATACTACCCAGTGTAGATGAGTGTGGAAGGCATTATATTGAGTGGAAAAGTCAGCCATAAAGGGACAAATACTGCATAAGCCCACTATGATAATAGTAGGATTGAGACGGGGAAGAGTGGAAAAGCCGGGAATGGATGACTAGTTAATGAATACTGCACAAGAATGAGTGAAAGGAAGGACAAATGGAAAGAAAAGAATGGTTAAAAATCATATACCTGACAATGAATAGCCTTACAAAGTGAATTGAGGGATATGGAGGGAAGGAAGTATACAGGGATGAAGAAATGAAACAGATCTCTTAGTAAACCTTCACTAATACACTTATTTTTTAAGATGGAAGAAGGAAAGAAAAATCCAGACCCCCTTCCCCCAATATAGGATCAATATCCAAACAGTTATACCTAGAAAGCAATTATTCAAAGCCAGTATCCAAACAAGCATATGTGCAACACAGGGGACTGCTCATAGCTAAATCCTGGAGTGGGTACAATAGAGAATGAAGAAACGTCCGACAGTGAGGAGGAGGTCGGGATCTGTTCTCCTGATGCCTCAGGATTGTAATTCTGAGAATCAGGTTCTTAAACCATTTATTCGATGCAGGTAGTAACCCCAGTCTAGGACTCCCAAAGTCAGGGCTTCACCAATCAGAATTAGGATGTTTCTTCTCTTGATAAACAAATGTGCTATCTTTTGGGGTCCCTCACAGAAAGGCAGCCAATAAAAATTGGGTTGCTTCATTTCAACATTATCACATTGGCTTAGACTGATTTTTAGCATTTCTGATTAATGCATTACTTTTTTGGGATATGACATTTAAAAAAATTAATATTTAGTCTCTAGGTCTGATATATAGCACAGGCTGAGTGTGTTCTGAAAATTTTCCCCTTGGCCATATTTCACCTAACACATGTTCTCACTTTCTCTTCACCTTACCCATTCATTGACTAATATCTGCTCCCTCCAATTCTCTCTCATCCCTGCCTGTCAACTCTCCCAGTTATCTCTTTTTCTCTTCTTTCCCCATCTCCATTTCATCTTACCCCTACCAAATCCATCAGTTAGGCATTTTCTATTCTAGATTGTTAATTGCAATAGACATAGTGACTGACCATGATCATCCATTCCATTCCCTAATCCATTACTATGTTCATTGTTTTGTTTTGTTTTTTTTTTAAGGCGGAAGATTTTTTAGCAAAAACCTGGTTAAGGTATAATTTACATAAAAGCAATGCTCCCTGCCACCCCTGTCCATGCGTAGACCCGGGTGAGGGATGGGGCTTTTCTGCTTAGGGGAAGAGAGAGGCTTCTGGAAAGGCCGGAGCTTCCTGTCACACCGCCATGTTGATTATTTGGAATGACTATTCAAAAAAAAAGAGAACAATGTACAATCAAAGTCCTGGGCCACATTGGAGAACTGGGGGGATTCTTGCTCCACACCAACTGCTGTCACCCTCACCGTTCCAGTTTTTAAATCCTGAGTCAAGCGCCAAAAAAAAAAAAAAAATTAAAAAATTTAAAAAAAGAAACAAAAAAGTAACAAGTAAAGCCATGCCAAT